ACTCTCCCACTCTCTTCTAGCTTTTAGCTTTTAGAGGGCGTTTGGCAACACTGGTTTCCGGCTTATCAGGATTATCAACCAATTTTTTTACCAAACGCGTAATTTTTGCTTTCTCGCGCTGAATTGTATAATAAGCAGAAAAAGTAAGGTTGGAGTTACTTTTCTGGCTTTATTGGCTGAAGTTGATGTAGATGATCATTTTAGCTATTTTTACAAATAAATTTTTCTTTGTTTTATTAATAAAATATATTTAAAAATAATTTTTTTCTTAAATCAGCAAAATCAGCCAATGCGGCCACTTCAGCAAGAACTCCATAAATTTCAGCAGAATCAGCCGAATCAGCCGATTTTCGTGCTACCAAACGGCCTTTTAAAGTGCTTAATTTAAGTAGAAAATGTTACCCGTAGTATTTGAAAACACTAATTTTCAACTTTTTTAAGTCAAAATTGAAAAACACTTTTAATTGTTTGCAAACAGTCCCATAGTACGATCCCGAGCTAAAGTTACGTATGATTTGGAAATTCGATTTTTAGTTGTCATTTTGTTAATTCTCAAAAAAAAAGTTGTCATTTTGTTAAAGTCATCATATGCATTAGAATGATACTTAAAAAGGAAAAGTTAATAACGATGATATCATTTTTTATGTTTTTCTTAAAAAAATCCCAACTACAAGTAATTTTCTTTTCATGTTGCTAACCGGTTGATTGACCTATTATTCGAGATTGTTTTTGTTTTTTGGAAAACATTAAACAAATAATTTCACCTTTCATTGAAATAAAATCATCTCAAAATTGTCTCATGTATCATTTTTTAATTTCGTTTTTCACCCTAGAAGATATTCGTCTTTAGAAATACTTTAACTTATTTAGTTTTATGATTTTTTAAACATAAACATAGTGGTTCTTGATTGTATAAAAATTAATAGAAGTGGTGTTTTAAAATTTATTATGAAACGTGTAAAAAGGTTAAAATAAGGATAAATGATGCAATCATTATTTTGTAAAAGTTTAAGAAACTTGAACTAGAAAATAATACAGAGTAATATATCAACACACCCCAAGAAAATTAGGGTACTTTTCTTCAAATTGTAACAAGTCTCTTTTGTGTAAGCATTAGTGATAGAGCGAGGATCACAATATTAGGAATGCCTGAGATTTAAAAATTAACATTTGGAGGACAAATCTTCATATCCCAATATACTTTTTACATTATACGACGTAAATATTTGTGTTTACACAAACACATATTTGTACTTCTTAATTAGCCCATAGCTACCTTCGTTAATGATGACAACCTAATCCATTGTCTAAACTTTAATAACACCCCTTTATTTAAAAAAAAAACTTTAATAACACCCTTGATGGAGTGTCAAAAAAGGTGTACCCCAACATATCAATTAAAAAGGTTTAATTGATGACGACAACTAGGTTACATGTCAATGTTACTCAGGGGATCTCTCTAAATAACATGTGCACATCTCACTCTCTAATTAAGTGATTACAGTTTAGGATGTTATTACTTGTACTGTAATTTGCTGATCGTATTGGCTGAAGTTACTGTAGATGACCATTTTAGCTATTTTTACATATAATTTTGGGAAAATGGAAACTAATAATCCAACCTTTTAGCGGTTTTCTTACAATAGTCCCACCTTTTGATTATTCATGAATAATCCAACCTTTGCACCTCATCTTCATTCACTGGTCCCTGACCGGTTGATGACCTACTATTCCAAGTTATTTTCTTATCTTTGTACCTAATCCAACCTTTGCACCTCATCTTTATTTTATTAATAAAATACTTCGTATATTTTAAAAATATTTTTTTCTTACATCAGCAGAATCGGCCAAAACAGCCGATTTTCGTGCTACCAAACGGGTTCTTAATTTGATGAATAAAAAAAGAAAAATGAGATGTTCTTGATTGCAGATTCTTAGAAATATGAAGTACTAGTAATATCTAATATTGAGTATGATCTAAATATTTGGGGTGAATTAAAAAAATGTTCTGCTCAGGACTCATGTTGCCCCAACCATTGTAGGCGAACAGTTCGGCTATATAATGAAAAATAATCACAACAAAGAAATATTTATTATAATTGAAGGTTTAGAGAACCAAAATAATGTAGAGTACATCACAAGTGTGTTGGAATTATTCACTTTAGTGATGGCACATCAAAATGGGTATCCGCTTACTCCACCTATCATCATTGGACTTTAAGAGTTTAAATTCAATGTTAGTGAATTAGAGGTGGAATCACCCTTTTTCGGCTTATCAGTCATATCGGCCAACTTTTTCAGCAAACACGTAATTTTTACTTTCGCGCACTGAATTGTGTAATAAGCAGAAAAAACAAGGTTGAAATTACTTTTCTGGGTGTATTGGCTGAAGTTACCGTAAATGACCATTTTAGCTATTTTTACATATAATTTTTCTTTATATAATTAATAAAATATATTTTAAAAATAATTTTTTCTTAAATCAGCAGAATCAGCCAATGCAGCCACTTCAGCCAGAACTTCATAAAATTCAGCAGAAACAGCCAAATTAGCTGATTTTCGTGCTACCAAACGGGCTCTTAGTCATTAAACCAATACCATTCGACTAATCAAAATATCAACGCTGGAGATTAATAGTGGATTCCAGTTCAATACATAAAATAAAGTGGGTACCTATGTACTTATTCTCTAAGTACTTATTACATATACATGAAGCTTAGCTCGAGTATCTCATAATAATACATTTAATATTCTAGAAAATAGAAATCATGATGTTAAAATTACTCTCTACGTTTCGTTGGACATTAGTATCATGTGCATATATGTGACATATTATAACATATGAGGTGAAGGAGTTTTTTTCCACAATAAAGCTAAATAAATAAATATATACGAAATTAGGGTTGAGTTAAAACTATTTACCAAAATACTGTTGGAATAAACTATAGTTAACCAAAACCGCCAAACGAGTTGGCGACTTTCACTTGCGAACAAAACTCACGTCCGAAACAAAGCAAGATAGGTGTCAGCCAATAGGATATTAGTTAATATATGAACTCCAACTTAAAAAACCCCTCTTTTTTAAAAAGTGTTATAAGTTATTTATTTTTTAAAAAGTGTTATAAGTTATTTATTTCTAATACGAATTTCATAAAAAATATATCAAATTTCATAAATTCTTATTATCTTTCATATGACACCAATATTCAATATATAAAAATAAAAAAATTGAAGAAATGATAAGTGGGGGTTTCTTAGGCTATAAACTTTTTAAGGAGATCTATGTTCTAAAATTAAGATCTCATAATTTTTAGAGCCTGTTTTTCTAATACTGAAATCGGCTGAATCAACTGATAAAAATTATCATTTGAAAGATAATAAAAAATTATCTAATAAAATAATAAAAATTGAAAGATAATTATTAAAAATTATCTTAAAAATTATCATTTGAAAGATAATAAAAAAATATGAATTTTCTAACTTTTTATTATCTTTCATATAACAGTATGACACTAATATTGAATATATAAAAATATAAATAAATCTGAAGATACGAATATGTACTACCTCCGTTCCATTTTATGTGTCTTAGTTTGACTTGGCACGGTTATTAATGAAGTGGTTGAAAAAGTAAAAGTTGTGGTTGAAGTTTGAGTAAAATAAAGTGAATTGGTGTAGGCCACATATTTCTTTCCCAAAAAGGAAAGTGGACACTTATTTTGGGACAACCCAAAAAGGAAAGTAGGACAGGTAAAATGGGACGGAGAGAGTAATTATATAGCACAATTTCATGTCGTAATTAGGAAATTTTTTATTTATTGACACTAATTTTTCACCAAACATGTAACTTTTAATTTCACGCGTTGAGTTGGTTTATACTAAGAAAATTAAGGTTGAATATCTTATCTGAATGTATTGGTTGAACTGTTGAAGTTACGATATATGACCGTTTTAACTTTTTTTGCATATAAATTTTTCTTTATCTTAGTAATTAAAAATATTTTAAATATACTTCTTTCATAAATCTGTAGAATAAGCAAATCCAGCCACTTCATCCAATAATTTATAAATTTCAGTAAAATCAGCAGATTCAGACGATTTGAGTGTAACCAAACGGGCTCTAAAATTTATGAGATCTTAATTTTAGAACATACATTTGCTTAAAAAGTTTATAGCCTAAGAAACTCCCACGTATTGTTTCTTCAAAATTATTTTTATTTTTATATATTGAATATTGGTGTCATATGAAAGCTAATAAAAATTTACGAAATTTGATGTACTTTTTATGAAATTCCGATTAGAAACAACAAACTTATAACACTTTTTTTAAAAAGAGGGGTTTTTAAAGTTGGGGTTCATATTAACTAATATCCTATTGGCTGGCATCTTTCTTGCTTTGTTTGGTACTTTGGTACGTGAGTTTTGTTCGCAAGTGAAAGTCGCCAACTCGTTTGGCGGTTTTGGTTAACTATGGTTTATTCCAGCAGTATTTTGGTAAATAGTTTTAACTCAACTCTAATTTCGTATATATTTATTTATTTAGCATTATTGTGAAAAAAACCTCGAGGTGAAGAGGGCTTAACACATTTTATTTATCATTAGAGCTAAAGTACAACATTAGTATATCATGAAAGGTTTGATGCATTAAATCTAGCAAAATAATTTCTTAGTACGCCCAGGAAGTAAAATCATAAACACTATTTCACTCTTCTTTTGTAAAGTTGTCCAATTTTCATCATTCTCATAATCTCATCTCTCACGAGTCTGAGATTTTTTTTCGGAGTAGTTTATAAGTTCTTTTAATAAATAAATGGGCAACATGGTCATATATTACAAAATTGCAAATAGTAGTGTCATGGTCATATATGATGGAGAAAAGTAGTGTCATGGTTTTAAACTTATAAATAACATTTCACCCGCATGAGTTGATCTTTCACAAAAAGTCATATCTACACACATACTTTTTGGTCATCCAAATTCTAGATTAAGGAATCATGAGTGGTTTATCTAATGATATTCTTATAGTTTTCATGATAACTGACTAAATAGAGTTTAACTAACTCCAGTGATTTGGATTGTAAATACTAATTATGCATTTGAACAATCTTAATAAGCTTTGTACTCTTACTGAAATGAGTATAACAATCAGAAAACGTGCATAATGTCATAATGTCATCACACATCTGATCAGTCATACAATAAACGTATTGATCAAATGGCCTTCTTGATTGCCTCAGTCATTACTTCGAGCTTCATGGTCTCTCTCAAAAACAACCTCTCAACATTGAGAGATGAATTGTGTCTTGTGAGTTACTCAGAACATTTCTCCAAGCTTCGGATTATACACACCACAACACAAGTACACACCCCCGAGGCCCGAGCTGATTAAGTGTCTCGAGTTCACAGCACAGCTCCCAGAAGAACCGCCATTGGATCGACCAATAACTCCAAATTCCCAGCATGTTCCAACTCCCATATAAGAGATAAACAATGATCACGACATACTTAACCTAAGCTTCAAGGGCTAACATATAGCCAAAAGAGAATTCTTTCAATTTCACTTCCTTCTATCATTTGAAGTACAATTTCTCGATAAATAGAGAATCTCAAGTGTAAAATGTAATTCATTAAATCTCCCCACTTATACAGTTGTACCTATTTTAGTATGCCATCATGTGGTCTCATAGTTTTTGTAGATGGCAATGATGCAAACATACAGATATAAGAGTACATAACATTAACAGATTTTGTGTGTCCCAATAACACAAGTACATCTCTTACAAATTAGAAAAATAACTTACAGCTATGGCTTGCATTAAACCTTTGGTAATGCTGCCCCTGGGTCAATGCTAAAGAAATGCCAACTGGAACTATGGAAAGCTCGAAGGCAATCTTCTGAACATTTGATTCTAAACTCCTTAGAGAATTTCCTTGCAGCTAAGATATGCTTTCTCGGGTCCGCAGAATAAAGGTTCTTGCATATCGACATGTGATGCTCATATTCCTCAAAACTGTTCCCAAACAGAATTATATGATTCAGGAGATCAACCGTCCAATTCGCCTGCAACAGATTTTCATACAACTCCGCCTCACAATGTGGCATGAAGAACAGTGTGGGTTTTATTGCTTCTCTCCGGCCGTTCTCATTCATAGACAGAACAGAGCACCCAAGGGATTCCAGAACCCTAGATTCTGTTAAAGATATGATCGGATCAAATATCTCTATCTCTCCAATCCAACTAAGCTCCCTTTTCATCAAGATCGCAAGGCTGAGTTGCAATCTGGGCGGTTCAAATGATTCTATGCTGCCGATGCCATATATTACCATGCAGACCTTTGTTTCAGGACCCAAAACCCGTCCAATCTGATCTGAGGTTTCACCTGTTTGTAATTGGTCTAGGAAGTTCAGCCAAAAGTGCGAGGTTTCAAGTTTCTGGATGCAAGTTTGCATCTTTTGCATCAACTTTAATTCAGTTTCTGGGTCTGTTTCATAATCTTGTGGAGCCCAAGGTTGTTCTTGCTTTTGTTCTTCAGAGGGGTCACTTGTTTTGCAAGAAATCTTTTTCGGCCTTGGACGTCGACGAAGAACAACGGTCCAATCTTCAGTGGTACTTGAGTTGTTATCAATAGAGCATGTTTTTACTGATCCAGCCATTCAATGGTTTTATAATAACCTAAGTTTGAGGGGGGGGCATCCGTATTTATATTAGCTACAGATATATAATCATAGCTGAACCCGAAATTGCATGCCAAAACTAAGGTTTATAAAACTCCTACTAATTATCATGAAGAGCACACAAAGCACTAATTTTCTATTAGGTTTAAAATATCCTTCTTTTAATCTTTTGTGACATTTTGGACGACTCTTCTTAAGAGACCACTTAACCCACATTAACTCTGTTTCCCCTGGCTTATGTGACAGGTAAGAGGTCAAATGGCTCTTATTGGCTCTCTTTCCTTCTTCTGATTGGATTTCCTTTACAGAGTCTCAAATAACAAAATGGATAATTTCACTTCCATATGAAGAAAAAAAATCACCACCAATATCATTATATTAATACTCAAAACCTTAATCCTAACTAATTATAACTAAGCTCAGTGACATTGATTTATAGCATGATACTATAAATTCACGCAAAAAGCATATTCCCGTTGTTACGCCACATCCTTCCATGAAAATTATAGAGTTGTCACAATGCCACCATCATAGGTTATTTCTATATGCATTGAAATCAATGTAATAATATAGCGATTGAAAAGCAAATATACCATCCCAAAGCCATAATTATTCAATAAAGCTTCGAAATTCAGGAAAACAAACAAAGAAGAGAAATAAAAACCTGCAAATGCCCCCAAAGAACAGTCAAATGAATGAGAATCATACACGGTACACCCAGACAATACCGTGAACTAGCGGCCAGGCAGGCTAGGTATATGAAACCTGCAAACTTTTGGCTTATATTTCCTTTACGGATTTGTCATAACAGCTGATACTGATGTTATTTATCACTGTGTAATATTCATAAAAGTTCATAATAGGGGAGCAGTGTTTTCAAACAGTGGCGATGACGGTACCATGGCAGATGGCTGTGGCGGAAATTAGCGGCCAGGCAGGCTAGGTATATGAAACTTGTGAAGAATGGCAGTTTGTGGCAGGTCCATATGGGGGAAGTTCTGGACTTTTGGCAGCCCGCCATTATTGAAACTTCATGGAAGTGTAAGTTGAGAAGGAGCATATTTAGAAATTTATTATGTAGGGGTAGTTGATTTCTTTATGATCACAATAAAATTGTTAGCACTATATCTTCACTAGCCAGGAGCATAAGTGATTGTTTGAAAGAAAAAATCATCTACAACAAAATATATTATTAATAGTTGATACTATTAGCAATGTCTCTCATTTCATTTTCATCATTTTCATTTACCCCAGTGCCGCAAAGGCTCCCATCCCACCCATAGTCACATGGTTCGCGGTACGGTTCGATACAGGAACGAGGAACGGGAACGCGGTTCGCTAGATTTAGCGTATCCGATTAGGAGGGGGTAGGTTCATTTCGGTACGCGTTCGGTACGCTGTACCATATGTTCGGTACGTTGTACCTAATATTATGGTACTCTAATAAAAATATAAAATTGAATTATAGAATACAAATTTCAACATTGAACAAAAACATATTTCATAACATTAAACAAAAGCAAAAACATTAATATTCAAGAAACATTTCAAGCAAAACAGAAAAAAGGCACTACATGGGAAAATCAACGTTGGCGTATGAAGCAGATCATTTTGCCTCAATTTAAAATACTAGGCTGTTTACACATGGGAAACGAAAATCATGTTATGGAGTACTTATTAGAGTAAAATCAAGAGTTATGGAGTAGTTACACATGACAAAAGAAAATCATGTTCTAATAACTACATCGGAGTAGTTATTAGAGTAAAATTGATGGGTGGGATCAGAAAACTAAGAGTCTAGGAGGATGGTTCGAAAATCAAAATAAGTACGCTGTTTACACATGGGAAACAAAAGTCAAACTAAGAGTCGCAGACCTTAGTTTTTTTAAATCTGGGATATGACGATCGAGATCTGGGAAACGATGTTTTGAAGTTGTGCGACGAAGGGAAACGGCGAATAAATTCGCTTCGAACATCGATTGAGATCGATTGAGATCGACTCTGATGAGCGGTGGGTACGACTCCAAGACCGTACCGCATAGCATTCCGGCAAGCGACCGGATCATTTTCGTCCCACGATTCGGTACGGAACGATCGGTACGGAGTGAGCGGCATGTTTAGCGATTTATGTATCTATGCTCCCACCTATGGTGGGGTAAGGGGGGGTCGGATGTACGCAGTCTTACCCCTGTACTAAAGCACAGAAAGACTGTTCCCGGATGACCCATAGTAAAAATTGCGTCCAAAATTGCATGGACTGACTGTTGCTTCGTAACAAAGAAGCGCAGACAGTTTAGTGAGCCATTTTGCTTTATTCCATCATATTCTCAAGCCAAAAAATAATGAATCTTTGGCTCAATTGCACATGATGAATCTTTAGCAATGTCTCTAATTAGCTAAAACCGTCTTCAAAGGATTTTCCTTTTTTTGTATCTAGCTAAGACCAAGGTATCTTTTAATATATAGTTAAGTACATTCACTAGTTTTCTCGAGGAAGGATAACAATGTTCCTTTTTTATTAAAGATAATTGTTTGTGCATTCTTATTTAAAAAATACACACACAAAAGTTGGAGATAGAAAATATACTAATAATTCAGAAACTGATAAAGATGTCAACCCACTGGCAAAGTAGAAGAAAATACAGTGCCAATGAATATCGATGCTAGATGCAGATGTCAATCAACCAAACGAAGTGAATAAAAAAAATCAACTAGAACATACGGATTAATTTCGAAATCTGCAGCAGCAATTCCAAGATTCAAATCTGGATCAGGAGAGCAGCAGCCGTCTCCCAAAGGTTCTGGTGCGCCCTGAGCTTTGTGTTCTTCTAACTTGGGGTGGGGTGGCCTAAATCAAATTGGCGTACAACATGAGAGTTTTAACATTCAAAACAACATCAATACTAAATTACTATTGGGGTTAATACTCAATATCATGTTCATAACAATGAGAATATGGGATTGATACTAAAAATGAAATTAATACTCACAAATGGCTATATGTCTGTATATTAATGCAAATTTGCAAACAAACTGCAGAGTGTAACGGACTACTGCCGTCTGGAACACTCTGCACTACACAAACTGGCACAACTAACAAAAGCTAGACGGATAAAATTAAAATCACTAACATTCAAAGTTTGGGATTGCGAGTTCTGCAGTTTGTTTTCATTTTACCTGGCGCTAGATGAGTGCACGAGTGACGAGTCAGGGGAGGAAATGAAGAGTGTCGATGTGCGCCGGCGCGGGAAGCGGAACGGAGGCGTGGTGGACCGTGAACGGACACAGGGCGGCAGGTGAAGGCGCAACGCGAGGTGGGCCGCCGGTAGTGCCAGGGAGGCTATGAGAAGAAAAGCAGAAGTCGTTCACATGAGGCGGAATTGCAGCTGTGGAGACTTCAATTTTTTTCATTTGGGCCGCGCCTCTAGTGTGTCTGTGTGTGTAAATACGGACGGGCCCATAAGAAGTCCTAGTAGAACAAAATTCTTTTTCAGAATGGGCTTTGATAAATACAAAGTCCAATATTGGCCTTTGGACTCGGATAATTATTTTTAGGATAATTCTAAGTTTCTAACCACAGCCACACAATTACTAAGCACTGCCATAAAATTAAAATTTAATGAATATTTATTTTGTAAATTTCTATTTTATCCTTCTGCCCATCCGCACACATACAAAAATACAGACATCATTCATTGTCGAAGAAGATGAAGATGGAGGGCGTGTGCTTGACTTGTTCATCACAGGGGCGGATCTACAGCCTAAGTATGGGGGGCAGCTGCCCCCAACAAACTCCCAATAATCCCTTATATTTTTTTTTTTGGTGATACCAATAATCCCTTATATTAATATTAAGAAAAAAATCAAGTACATATAAATGCCCCCAATAGAAAAATGTAAATGCCCCCATCCAACTCCAGCCATTACAAAGCAAAATAATATGCTCTGTATACTTCAGTTTTTTTGGTAAACTCCGTATACTTCAGCTTTGATAAACGAGGAATGTATATTTTTTTGACGGAAACAAGCAATGTATTATTGAGTATTAATACATAACGAAGTGTATTATTGAATATTAACTACTCCGTATTTGAGTAATTTGACTATGGAGTATTGAGTATTATTGTATTATTTGTATGTGTTTAAGTGTTATGGTTTATTTGTGTTTTTTAAGTCAAATAACTATTTTTTTATTAAAAGAAAGCAAATGCGAAGTATACAAGAGAAATGAATAGACTAAGTCTACAATGGAATATCTCCAAAATCGCAGCTAAGGAGAATTGAACTCACACCTTTTGTGTTAAATTGTTAAAACTCAAAATCTAAAATTTGCAACTACCTATAAACAATATTACGATTTAAGAATTGAGAAAGCCATATAAAATATTACGTATAGTTTTACATAGTTATTACTCTCGGAGAAGGTTTTAAGATATACTTCGTATAAAGAGACAAATTAAGAAACCTGTATAAAATATAGAGCTCGTTTGGTGATTCTATTTTTTGTTTTATGTCTTATCAGCCTTTTTTACTAAAACGTAAGTTTTTATTTTGTGGCTCAATTGTGTGTCAAAATAAGTAAGGTTGGAATTACTTTTTGGCTAGATTGGCTGAAGTTATTGTAAACAACCCTTTTAACTATTTTTCATTTTATTAATAAAGTACTCGTATATTTTAAATATAATTGTTCATAAATCTTCAGAATTAACTAATACAGTCACTTCAGCCAGAACTTCATAAGTTTTAGCAAAAATAGCCTATTCAGCCAATTTGAAGGTTATCAAACGGGTTCATAATTTTTACATACCTACCACTCTAGGAGAAGGATTAAGATACATAAAGAGAGGAAAAAGTACATTAGTTATCAAAGAATTAAGGTGATCAAAATTCAAAAGAATAATCCTTACTTTTAGAATTTCTACAATAATAATCCCTACTCACGGTGTCCACAAAAATAATTCAAACTAGCAACAATGTTCATAACAAAAAAATGGGGTAAATTTAAATTAATGCCCATTTAATATTCTCAACTCTTACTCTCACTTTTGTCTTCCTCATTCTTTTTTTTCATGGCAAATTCAATTAAACTAATCCTTTTTTATCTCAATACTACTTCCGCCACATATGCTTTTCTATAGGTTTTAACATAAGTGTTAACCAAGAAAAAGAGTGGTGAAGGGGAAATGGAGATAGGGTTTGGGAATACTAAATAGGCACTAATTTAAATAGACACAAAGTAATGAGTGATTGATTTATACAGTATTTTTAAAATTGAGAATTTATGCAATATTACACATCAAATTTTACTCATTTCAAGTTTAGATAGTGCTGATTTTGTAGGAGCCAAAAAAATTTACTCGTAATGAGTTACGATTTACGAGGACCATAATATATCAAATCGGAAGTATTCAAGTGTTCTATATTCTCAAATTTTCAGGGGGCAGCTGACCACCCTGACCTCTTGGTTCCGCCCCTGAATACAGCATATAATAATTCTAAGAATAAGAATAGCAATGGTAGTAGAAGATGTTGTTGATTTCTCTTTAAATAGAGATGGGAAGTTATAACCACACCTAAAAATAGGAAAGTGGGTCCATCTACTAATATGTGCATCAGTGCATGAGTGGATAATAGAGGGCTATGGATTCGAGTGTAGTTGGAGGTTGCTCCAATGGTTGAGGCCACAGATGTGGTGGCCAGAGGCGGTGTGATCGGAGCTAGTGCAGCGGAGGTGAGGTCGGGCAAGGAGGTGGCTGCTATGGAGGTTGGGGAGGTCTCGAAGGTGGTGGTCGGAGTCCGTTACGTTCTAGTGGGAGGAGGCCGATATTGACAAAGAGAATGAAAGATTGTTGGGCCTGTTGGTTGACTGGAAAGAGAAAGCCAAAGAAAAACAAAAATATATACAATTGAAAACGAGAGGAAAAAATCCACATCATATGACACGTAAACATTTTACCTGGAACCGGAAATTGAGATACTGAAAAGCCTATTTGAGAATTTTGTTATATGAATTTGTGGTTCTGGGTGTTTTTTTAGTTGAAGGATTCAATTGACCTTTTTAAAAGAGTAGAGGAGACTTATTTAACAGTTTTCTCTTTTTTAACAACCCAACAATTAATCCATGATTGAAAACTAACACATGGGTGAGTTTGGAGCTCAGAGATCCTGTATGGTGCTTTACAGGCTTATACGGATGTCTGGAGAGGTAGCTGAGATGGGAATCAGGAGATCTGTTAAGATTTTTTGGTTGCATTCACGTCATCTGTGTCTGGTCATGAGAGATTTTAATGATCCTCTCTGTGTATGAGAGAAGCGTGGAAGTATCCCTCATCCCCCCTGGTTGCACAGAGGTTTTCCAAAGTTGATTTGGGCGAGTGGCTTGCATAACTTCTCACTGACGGCGTACCAGTTCACATGGAAGTGTTGGAGAGGTACCCCGAATTGGGTGGAGAAAAAGCTTGATAGAAATCTTGTATCTCATTTGGAGGAGTTGCAGCTGAGTTCTTAAAGGGTTTTCCAAGTGATCATCTAGCCTTATTTATCCGTCTTGATCCGACAAGAGAGCTTAACCGGAAGCGCAGGTTCAAATTTGAAAATTGGCTTCGAGAGGGTCCCTGTCAGGAGATAGTAGCTAGAAGCTGGATTGCGGTTCGGGGTTTGTGGAGTGGTTGGCCAAATTGTGGGGTGTAGCTAAGCAGTTGATGACTGGGGCAGAGGATGGGCAATTGGTAGTGCATCAAAAGTAAATAAATAAATAAATAAATAAATAAATAAATAAATAAATAAATAAATAAATAAATAAATAAATAAATAAATAAATAAATAAATAAATAAATAAATAAATAAATAAATAAATAAATAAATAAATAAATAAATAAATAAATAAATAAATAAATAAATAAATAAATAAATAAATAAATAAATAAATAAATAAATAAATAAATAAATAAATAAATAAATAAATAAATAAATAAATAAATAAATAAATAAATAAATAAATAAATAAATGTGAATCCTTCTCATTTGTCACGTTAAAATGTCTTCTTATTAGAACTCAAATAAAATAATGTTAGCATCATGATAATATATTTTTTCGCAAATCTAATTTTATGGTGTTAAATACATAATTTAAAATGCACAAAACATTTATCAGGATGCTATTAAAATTAAATTGTAACGCATGTAATATTATTTATTTCACAAATGAAATTTTAGAATGTTAACTGCTTTCTAGCAAAACTTAAAGTATTCTAAATTATGTAATTGTTCCAATAAATTTGTATTTGTAAAATGGTTTAGGGTACTTATCTCACACCCCATTAAAATTTGGGGTATTTAAATTATTTTCCGGTTATTATCAATATTATTATTAGTTATAGCTATAATTATAATTATAATTATATTTACAAATTTACTCATACATATAATTATAATCACAACTATAATTACATTTCTTTATAGATACAATTACAATTATAATTATACTTATAATTATTATAATAGGTATAATTATAATTATAAGATTTTATACTATTACAATTATAATTATAAATATAAGGGAAAAGGGGCAAATAAGGCCACGTACTAACCAAAAAAGGTCAAATAAGGCCTTATTTATGAGGCTCTGTCCGGCGTTCGCCATTTGGGGTGGTTCTCGGTGGAATTTTTTGATGAATTTTTTTGACCATCTTATTCATTAAGTGTATTTTACTCATTCCAAATTTCAGCTAACAATGCAATCGGGAAGGCATTCAAATGAATTCTTGAAGATAAGTGCGCTTTAAACTACACAGGTTATCTTCAAGAATTCATTTGAATGCCTTCCCAATTAAAGTTTTAGCTGAAATTTGGTATGAGTAAACTAGACTTACTGAATAAGATGCTCAAAAAATTTCATCAAAAAATTCCACCGGAAACCACCCCAAATTGCGACGGCCAGACAGAACCTCTTAAATAAGGCCTTATTTGACCTTTTTTGGTTAGTACGTGGCCTTATTTGCCCCTTTTCTCTAAATATAATGATAATTATAGCAATAATTATAATTATATCTATGATTGCAATTATAATGATAATTGGCCCTTTCCACTGCTAGCTATTAAGTCTAGTAATATTTCACGAAAAAAAAAAGAATAAGCATTGATTAAAAAATTTTAAAGTTTCAAAATGCAAATCTAAAAAGAAAGGTCAGTTTAGAGTTCTAAAAGGAAGGTTAAGGATATGATAGGTTATTTTATATGAAAAAAGAATTCCAATTGTAATTTCTCTAATTAAATCTTTCATGTCAAACTTCTTTTTCTTTTGAAAATACATGAAAACGAACCCAACAACGTATACGAGAGTTCATGAATTATTAAAAATATTTGTCACGGGAGAGGTGGCCCCCAACATGGACATCTTTT